GCGGATTGGAAGTTGATCTGTCAGCACTATCCTTATCTTCAGAGCAGATGTTTTTATTTTATTTGGTTTATAATTCCGTACTAAGTGTAGTATTTCATCTCGATATACTCCGTCTTTGATATGATTTAAATCAAGTTCCTCGTCATTATAATTCGCTTCCGATAGTGAAGAAAGTGACCCAGAAGTTATTGAAAACGAAAACCGACAAATTAGTCGGTATTCTCAACACAGCAATTATAGAACTTGAACAGCGGAACTTTGTAACTAAACAAGAAATTATGTCTGTTTAATAGAATTAAAGAGAAAGTATTATCACATGAAATGAAGCAACTTACATTGAAGGAAATGTTTAATAAAGTAAACAAATAAATATTAAGCTTTTTCTTTTTGTAAATTTTGATACCCTTTAGATCATAATTGTTCTTTATTTCATAAATTACGGTTTCATATTTTTAATTTTGTAATTCTGCATGCCATCTTACCAGATTTAAACTGATGATCTATAATCCGGAAAAATCGATAATCCGGAATCGCCGAAGTCCCGACGAGTCCGGATTAACGACTTTTGACTGTAGAATGTAAACAAAGAGCTATCTAGGACATACAATACATAATGAAGCTGTGAAATCTGCTGAAAGTCAGTTTTGGCTACATGCAATGATGACTTCAATGGGGCCTAATGCAGTTTGGGAGATAGTTGAATGAACTATGTTATCATTTGCAATTTACAAAAACTATAATATATGATTTTTTATGTAAAAACTGTATATTTAAATTGAAACTAAAATAAAGTAATTTGCATGAAACAACCAACTGGTTTCAACTCAGATCCCTAAAAATTATATCTTGTGAACAAAGTAAATATGGATATAACAGTCAGGAAGATGTTGAGATGCAGAATTCTGAAATGGCTTTAAAAAAGAGAATTTAAGGAGATTAAAACCAGAGCCATGAATTTCTCAAACAACTTATCATAGCAGTATATTTCCATCAATCATCTTAATGATTGATGGAAACTTGAATTTGAGAAAGATGACTTCATCTCTCAATTTTCTAAATTATTAGCCTTTTGAGAAGTTTCCAAAATACACAAATATTTGGAAATAGACAAAAGACAACAATCTGGGAAAATTATTAGGATTAAAAAAAATGCATAACAAACATTTAAAAACTTTGAAATTAATGAATGTAATTTGGGAATACTGAATGAAAATCTTGATGATGTAGTATCGTCTTCATCGATACCAAACAAACAAACCAAAAAAAACAAAAAAAAAAAAAAAAAAAAAAAAAAACATCGCTTATAAAAGGCAGGGCTGATTTTTGTGGGATTTGCACAAAAAACGTGAAAAAAAAAACAGGACATTGTGTGTTTGGGTTAAATCAAGGATGTCAAACTCGCGGCCCACAACAAATATTTTTGCGGCCCGGCCAATATATCGGCAAATAATAATATATAATAATAAAATAACATATCGACGAAGAAAAAAATGAAATGTTTACTGCTAAGTAATTAACGATAATTTATTCAGTGTTGTTAGATTACTCACAGCGAGCTGACACACACACTACTTAAATTACAAATGCGTGTGAGTAGCTTGCGTTCAGCTACCTTCGGCTTTTGGGGGACACGTGCACTCAGAACTTGTACGCATCCCCCGATAGCCGAACTCATGGTCTCAGTTTTCCAATCATAGTTTTGTACGATATATTAGTGCATGCATGTGCATGCACTTTGCTTTATTATTAATTATTACTTTATTCATATTGTTACGGATTTCATAGTTTTTTATTTATTTAGTTTTTTTTATTTAGAATTGTAATTAGATTTGCTTCATGTTGCCTTAGCAACGCAGACGATTTTTGAAAAGACAGCTGCGTTGGAAGGTTAAAAATAGAACAGCGCGTGCATTTAATACCTAATAAATAAATATCTCGTAATTGCTGTTGCCATCCACAAAAATCCAGATATTTATAGATGTTTCCAGTATATTCGAGAAATTAATTATAAAGCTTATAAAAGCCGAGAACAAACAACTCATCTCAGTAGTAGCTGTAGTTCTAGCGAACTGTTTGTTTACTTAATGCTGTGATTGATTTGTAGCGATTTCGCTGTGAGATAGAATTAGTTTCTCTGTTTTGAATTGATTTTTGCTAAACGTTTGACATTTTGTGATATTGTTAGAATATTTTTGAAGAAATATTTCAGCATTTTGATTTATCTCTTGTGGAAAGAATAAATTTTTGTTAACTTTTTAACGTTAACCGTGTTTATTCCAGCCCTTTGTATTCAGTATGTCTATATCAAAACCAAGTGGTAGTAAAATTAAACGAAAAATCGCTGACGAACATAGAATATTCCAAGTAAAATGGGAATTAGAATATTTTTGCTGTGAAATAAAAGATAAAATAATCTGCTTGATATGTAATAATACTATTAATGTACCAAAGTTATATAATATTAAACGTCATTACGAACAACACAAATCGAAATATAACAATTACGAAGGATTAATGAGAGAAGAAAAGTTGAAAGAGCTCAAGTTAGGAGTGAAAAAGCAACAGTCCATGTTTAGTAAAGTATTGCAAGAAAGTGAAGCGGCGGTACATGCAAGCTACGTCTTGTCCGAGTTGATAGCTAAACATTCGAAGCCTTTTACTGACGGTGATTTCATCAAGGAATGCCTAATGAAAGCTGGAGAAATTGTTTGTCCTGGAAATGTGAAGGCTTTTCAATCAATTTCATTGTCTCGAAATACAGTTGCGGAAAGAGTTACTGATTTAGCCGCGAATTTAAGTGATCAGATCAAAGCAAAATCATCTAGTTTCGAAAGTTTCTCCATTGCCTGTGACGAGAGCACGGACATTAGTGGCAAAGCTCAATTAGCAGTGTTTCTTCGTTCTTGTGACAAGAATTTTAACATTTTTGAGGAATTACTGGAACTAATACCGATGCCTGGTACTACCACAGGAGAAGATATATTTACTTGTGTTTTTGGACTTCTGCAGAAATACAATCTACCTTTGGCAAAATTAAATTCTGTAGCTACAGATGGCGCTCCATCAATGACCGGGAAAAAAACAAGGGCTTCGTAGCATTACTAAGAAAAAAAAACTTAGTGAAATTCACGGTTCAAACATTCATCATATGCATTGTATTATACATCAAGAAGTTCTATGCACGAAAGTAATAAATATGGAGAATGTTTTGTCATATATAAAAAAAGTTATAAATTTATAAAGATCTCGAGGTTTAAATCAGCGTCAATTCATTCACTGCTTTCTTAAGTGAGTTAGATAGTGAATATTCGGGTTTGTCCTACTATACCGAGGTACGTTGGTTATCTTGCTCCAAGATTCTCAAACAATTCTGGGATTTGAAAGAAGAAATATGTCAGTTTTTAAAAACGAAAAATCAAGACGTAAGTTTGTTTTACGATCCAATATGGATACAAGATTTATCTTTCTTGGTTGATATAACCAAACACTTAACCGATTTAAATTTATCGTTACAAGGAAAAGATCATATCATTACGAACATGTTTGACATAATTAAAGCATTCAAATGTCAACTAGTTCTTTGGGAAAAACAACTTAAAAATGAAGATTTGACGCACTTCCCGACGTGCAGCATGAACAAATCAAGTTTAGATGATACTTGTTCGTATCAAAAATACGCAGAAAAAAATTGCAAATTTAACAACTGAATTTGAAACGAAACGAGGTTTAATGATTTTAGTTCCCTCGAAGACAATTTTTTTTTGTTTTTTTTTGTTTTCTTCGATTTTCTCAATAAGTATTGACTCAGTACCCAGCCATATGCAAATGGAGGTGATCGAGATTCAATGCAACTCAAATTTGAAAGCAAAATTCATTGAAGTGGGCGTGCCTGAATTTTACAAATATTTACCAGCCAGGTTTGAAAATACTCGAAAATTTGCATAGGAAATTATTTCCATGTTTGGTAGCACTTATCGGTGCGAGCAGTTATTTTCAGTCATGAAAGGTAATAAGTCTCCTATTAGAAACCGTATTAATGATGCTCACCTTGGGTCAGCGTTGAAAGTTATCACTGCAAACAAAATTTCTCCCGAAATAGGAAAGATAATAGCAGAGAAGAGATGTCAAGTATCAGGACGTAAACATTAAATTTTTCTTGTTCTTTTTATATAAATATATATATATGTTTATTATTGTATTATTCAAAATAAATCTACGTTTCTATGAATATTGATTTTTTTATTTTTTGTGGCCCGCCTAAAGTTAAACCTTGTTTGTTTGGCCCAAGTGTACCTATGAGTTTGACATCCCTGGTGTAAATGGAAAACCATTTGGAGGTTATTTTATTAAATTAGGTAAAAATTTAGTATTTCTGTAACTGGAAAATGCAACAAATAAAGAGGCATTCTAATTTGTTTGTCAAACTATAGGGTACATTAATTGAAGAATTAAGATAATTTAACTATATAACAAACCTATAGAAATAAAGACTGACAGTCAAGCATTTAATATACTGGACAAAACATCGAAACAAAGCAGTGATTCAAGGCCCATAAACGGAAAATATTTATTTTAAAAATAAGAATGTAAATTGAAATGGATCATACCTCTGCTTGTGTGTACTAAACCTATTCAAGAAGCAAATATCTCAACTAAGTACCTAACTGCTGTAAAACTGAAAGGTGAATTTTTCAAATATATTCATAACTAATAACAAGTAACTCTCTTAATACAAATAAAGTGGGAACTGATCGTATGTGTTTATAAAAGTAATTTAGTTTTCAATATTTGGCAACATTGATGTTGTACACTTATAAAAGATTAACTGCGTTCTTGGACCTAGCAACAGTAGAAAATGTTTGGTTTTTGAAGATGTTTTGTCTATGAAAAATGCTTTTAATAAAGTTGTTTTTATGGGTTTCTTTTTAATGTTTATTTTAAAAATACTTAACATTTAGACATATAAATCTTTATGAAACGTCAACAAATAGTTTACTTACATTTTGTTTTGAAAAGAGCTTAATACAGAATTTCCTTGCAGCTATTTAAAATATCTTCTGTTATTTTGGAATGACTTCCATATAATGTGCAAATCTTCAATAAAAAATGTTCTGCTAAACAAATATAAAATATATTAACATTTCAGAACTTAATTGTAAAATTAATTAAAATTAAATTACTCTGAGCTGATACTAGTGAAATCAAATTATTCTGAGCTACAAAAACTAAAAGTATAATAAGTACTGTATTTACATTTTGATTACATTTAAATTTAAAGATTTTTCCAACCATTTGCTGAATTATCGTGTTTCAGATGACATGTCAATATAACTGCAAAAGCTAATGAGCCCATTACATAATATGAACATTTTTGTATCGCTTATAAATTTATGATCACCAATACCAATCCAGGTGGCATCTAAAAAATGCAGTTAAATTTAAATTCTAGCAAAAATATTCCAAGATTTTATACTCATACCTGCATGAATTTAACATAATTTTTAATTCAAATACACAACAGATAAGTAAATGAAAAGAAAACTGAAACTGACAGTGAAACAATTTTAAAATTAGACAAAAAAGCAGCATTAGCTTGGCATAGATCTTGAATAAAATTTTAATTTTTTTTCCTTCTGTCATTTCTCTTCATGTTCTGGCTTTTGTGAATGGAATCCAGTCCCCCTGTTCTTTTGCGATGTTACATATGTAGGCAGGGGTGCTCAGGGACGGCAGTTGAGATATGGCTACCACTGCTGGCTAGATCTTGTCCCCGACTGGTTTCACTGTATACTCAGGCCCGTGCCGACAATAAGGTCAAAAAGACGCTCGGCAATCATTAAAACAAACAGTCCGTCTCGCTGCCTGTCTGAACAGGAGAACTCTTGTCTTATTTGAATGCCCTACCAGGGGTCAACTTGAGTAAAACCTGGGAAGCTACTCATTAGGATCGGTACCTAGGCAGTCTAGGCCACGGGTGTTTAAAAACAGTCTTCACAGGACTGAAGTCTTTGCTGGCGGTGGCTGTTTCAGGCTCGGCAAGGGCCATATGGTACTGTTTTGTCTGTTTCATTGGTTGTGGTGAAGCTATATATAGTCAGATACTGCTTGTTGGCTGGGGCAAAACACCCCCAATGGTGGAGTTGGAGAATTCAGCGAGCCTTTAAAGCTGCTTGAGGTTTCCAGTGGGCGCCTGAAGCTTCAAAACTGCCCATTCATATATTTCCTTGCTTCCTCCCTGGGAGTACCTAAAGCCGACATCTGTACACCATGATGCAGCATTAGCAAGCTGGATTGGTGGCCGGTCTGTCTGACAGTGTTTAAATGACTTCGTTCTACTGTCCGAGGTTGGGGCCCCTGTTGATGGCAGATGTTTTTACCATCCCTCCAGGACAGGGACATGGAATGTGAGATGCTGAGTATTCTTGTCGACTCAGCTTAATCTTAGCTCATCGGCTCGACTAATAGGTTGCATACAGGCTAGAGATTGAGCTCATTACTTTGTAACTATGTAACTCTGAAAAAAATCATTCAATTGTTCTGAAATTTTAATCCTTTTCTATTCTGCACATAATCTTTCCACCCACCAATTTTTGTCTCCATCGGACAATTTCTTCTTGGTGCATTGATTTTTCTGTTATAGAGAGTGCAATTTAAACAATAACTTTAAATATTACTTCATATTTTAGTTTCTACTTTAACACTTTATGCAATAATCTTAAAAACATATCTTACTTGATTTGAATCTATTTCACAAAAATAATTTTATGTTTTACTGATCAAAACTTCGAGTTTCTTGTTCTGCTTCATAGATAATACAGTCAAAAGCCGTTAATCCAGACTCATCGGGACTTCGGCGATTCCGGATTATCGATTTTTCCGGATTATAGATCATCAGTTTAAATCTGGTAAGATGGCTTGCAGAAATTATAAAATTAAAAATATGAAACCATAATTTATGAAATAAAGAACAATTATGATCTAAAGGGTATCAAAATTTACAAGAAAAAAAAGCTTAATATTTATTTGTTTACTTTATTAAACATTTCTTTCAATGTAAGTTGTTGAAGTTGCTTCGTTTTATGTGATAATACGTTCTCTTTAATTCTACAAACAGACATAATTTCTTGTTCAGTTACAAAGTTCCGCTGTTCATAATTGCTGTGTCGAGAATACCGACTAATTTGTCAATCGAAATTTTTTCATTTTCAATAAACTCTGTCACTTTCTTCGCTATCGGAAGCGAATTATAATGACGAGAAATTTGATTTAAATCATATCAAAGACGAAGAACATCGAGATGAAATAATACATTTAGTAAGGAATTATAAGCCAAATAAAATAAAAACATCTGCCCTGAAGATAAGGATAGTGCTGACAGATCAACTTCCAATTCATTGCGCGCCGTGGCGTTAAAGATAAACAAAGTTTAGATAAACAAACATTAAAGTTTAGATAATCAAAGGATATGCCTTTATCCAATTTTTGCAGCAATTCCACTTTCTGTTTAATGGACTTCGAAACATACTTTCGCTTTGTAGATCCGTTTCATATTAGTAAATATATATCGGAAATTCTATTTGACATAATCGAAAGTTCAAGCTTACTTTTATAAAATTGCTCTAACAGTCTGCAAAAAATAATAAGCCGAATCCAATTCGAAGATTAAGGAACAACGCAATCTGCAACATTAACTGAATTAGATAATTTTAGCTTAGCTTATACCGTCCGTTGTACATTAAACGCGCATTCGTAAACGTATTTTGCGCATGCGCACACGCACATTCGCAGCCGTAAAGGTCTTACGCGCATGCGTCAATGCGACGCATACGCAGAAAGGTTGTGGCTTAGAGGTTCGGATTATAGATCATTCCGGATTATGGGTGTCCGAATTAACAACTTTTGACTGTAGTAAAATTTTAAAAACAGGATTTTTACATGTTTTTAAGTGTTGCTTTTATTTCAAAGATATAAATAAGGAAGATTTTGATCTATTTGAATTTGCAGTAAGTAATAATACAGATATTTGCACATAAAAATATACACACACAAATAATCATATAATAACATATAAATGCACAAATAATAACATAACTGGTTCCGTGCAATATATTAACTAACTACAAAACTCAACCACATTTATAACTATTAATCCTAGGTAAATCTCAATTTTTTTTTTTTTTTTTTTTTTTTTTAAAGCTATCTACACATTTTGAAAGTCCTTTGTCAGATAACATTTTAAATGTAGAAAGTTGTAAAATCAAAGTCAATATAAAGTTGAAGTTTATTTAATTCTAAAGTTAATATTGATGTGATTCTTTTACATGCATATTGATACATTTAGTATTATCACATTACCTGCCCGACCATCTAGCAAAGTCTGCAATCACTGGCAACAAATTTTTCACCAACCTAACATGTGAAAAACAGACCCCATTTTAAAAAATGGCAGCATACTGAAAATTACATAAAACAGCAATGAATTAATGAAATTAAAAATGCAATAAACATGCATAATGAAACAGTAAAAATTATTTAAAACAAATGTCCATAATGAAAAGCAGATTTCAAAAACAATAAAAAATTAACTAAAAATGCAGCAAACACCATAATAAATCACTTAACTTTCCTCTTTTTCTTTTTTTGGAGGGAGGGGGTTCTGTTCACATGCACAGTGACCTATTTTAACTGAAAAGAACATCAGAGAACTGCAGATATCTCGCATTTCAGAGCAACTGGGACACATTTTTAACTTTAAAAACTTTAAAACTGATTTAACTTTGAAAAAAATTAGAGAACTGCCCTTATCCAGAGAAAACTATTATCACAATTACCTAAGAACAGCTCATGAACTACTTTTGAGCTGAAAAATTTCTATAACAATGTAACATCAGAAACAAATAAAAGCTAGCCAAATGCAGCATTATATATGCAATTTATTACTTTAACAAAAATAATAAAAATCAATTTGGACAACATTTACATTTTTAAAGCCAGTGGAGACTGTTCAGCTATCTGCTTTATAACCTCAGTCTTTTAGTCCATAACAGTCTTTTAACTTCCCTTCCAGACATTTTCTTCAAATGAATTCCCCAAGATAATTTGGACAATTTGATACCGCATAAAATACAGCATCATAGGACATGCATTTCTAAAGTCCAGTACTACTAGACAAAATACAATATTTTGAAAAAAGTGCAACATTTTCCTTTTAATTAGCAAGCCACAACTTCATGACAGGTCGTTACAAAAATACCCGCCAATCAGAAGCAGAAACCACAAACATTATCCTCAAATTACAAAATTACTTGCATTTAGTGGCCTGCCAGATAAAACACATTTTAATAAAATTTTGGATTGCCTACTTCGGCAACATAGCACTTTGCCTGGTGATTCTTGTTGGGCAGATAATGTTATATTATCCACCTAACTATATATTTTATTAATCAATCAAAATTCTACATTTTGGATGAATATATAAATCAAACTTACTGAGAAAGTGATATTTATACATAATAAAATTTTTGTTGCACTTGATAGATCCTCTGCACTTGATTGATCACTTTTCATAACTTTTGCCAGAAATGTACATATATTTGAAAACTGAAAAAAATTTCAAAAGTTAATATTAAAATAATATCATTATATGATTAACACTGAAGATTGTCAAAAGAAATATAAAAAATTTAGGAATAAAACAGTCTGTTATAAATAAGAAAGATAAAATATTCTGAAATGAATAACATATCACTTTGCCTGAACTTAAATTAGCAACAACTAGATACATATATTTTATTTAACTCATAATATTTTTTATAAAATATTAAACAAATAAAAATAATGACTCTCTCAAAATTCAGGCTAGTGATAATGCCACATTATTTGATAGAATTTATGAGGAATTATATAATTTATTGCATAGCCTGAAAATTTAAATAAAATAGGGTCTCTCATATAAACAATGGAATAACTATGAGGTAATTATATGTCTGACTAACCATATTTTATTTCAATGCAATAATATATAAAACTGAAAATATTTTACTTTACTATGAAAGCATATAAATTTGAAGTCTATTACATTTGTAATAAATATATGTAAATAATACATTATACATATAAATATATATATGTAAGATAAAAGAATATGAAAGCAAACTTCTAATTTTAACTAGCTATAACCTCTTTTTTTATTTAATTTGGGGACTTAAATTCAATAAGTCTCTCCATTTTAAAAATAGTGCTATAAGACTAGACTGAGCGCCACCTGAGATAACTACTGACCTGACTTTGTTTTAAAAGTATAAGACTAGACTGCATCAACGAAATTAATAATGCAATCCTACATAACGCTCAATGCAGATACCTCTTGCCCAATCAATAAACTTGTAAGCCAAACTTTTTAAAGTTAAATTGAAAATTTTGACTCCCTTCCTTCTTCCTCTAAGAGTTGCTGCGACACTCTTTGGCTTAAGCTTTCCTCCTGGCTAGGCGCTTTGCAACTAGTTTTGTTGCTCATGGAATATGTGAGCTAAAAAAAAAATGTACTGTGTACAAGACATTTGTCTGTATGTGAACCAAATATTGTGAATCTCAAACTGCTTTCCTAAATAATAAAATTATCTTGAATCTGGCCATGTCTACCTTGCCAAGTCCCTTCGCTACGCATCTATTATGCCACCACCAGGTTCTAAATCATTCATATCATATCACATATATATTGTTTATGTACAGGGTGATATAAAAGGATTCAAATGAATGCTTTGATAGATGAGTCTTGAAAATACATTCTTTTTAAACTTAAGAACATGTATTTGCAAACACCAATCACATGTGCTTAAAGGTTTCACTTATCAGACCTGACTTGGCCAGTGCAAAACATTATTAGGTAAAAATAGATTTCAGGGTATCCCTTGGTGAAAATTGGTGCCATTCCAGTTTATATCCAACACCCTCCCAGCAAAATGGCATTCAAAACATAATGCAATAAAACATAATTAAAGCAAAAAATAATCTCAATAAACTTCATTTTAAATCAAACAAGGAAATAACATAAGACTGGAAATACATGTTATCTAATCTATGAAGTAAAAAAGGAAATATCAACTTACCTTATTTAAATATTTTTGTTTCTACGGTATGTGCATCACACAGAGTTCACTAACAGCATCCAAAAACTATTTAAAATTATCTAAACTATAATCTGTATACAGCCAATGTCACATAAATTCATAAAAGTAAGGATGAAAAATATCCTCTGTACTGCCGGAGGCATTTCTTTCAAAAATGCCTTTTTGAATTATAATATTTGTGTTCAGAACACCTTTTTCTTCTGACATTAATAAATACTTCATAGCCATTTCAACTTTGACTCACATTTTAATTTCATGAAGGGAGAATTGAAACACAATCTTTCTTTTTAAAAATTTTTTCTTGAAGAAATCTCTTGTTAATCGATTAACATATTGTAAGTAGTGCAAGTGATACTCACAAAGCCAATTATCACTAGGAAAGAAATGGAGACATCTGGCACCAAGGAAATATGCCAGAACAAAAAAATGTCAAGTGGGTATGTCTTCAATGGAAAAATAGTGTTGCTCTGGTTATATTCACCATTCAGTTGTTTATGTTAAATAATTAAGAAGTCAAGTAATAATTTTACAAACATAAATAATTTAAGAAATAAATCAGGAATTTGCTATTATATTACCTGAATCACTGGCATCTGTTATTGAAATATTTCCTCCCTTGCCTGCAAAAATTATGAACATAATAAAAGTACAAAGAAATAGCCAACACAACAAATTCTGGGTAAAGTAGACTTTAGGGTACCCCTTGTAGTATGGCGAAATTGTTGTTTGATTTATCACCAAGTTGTTGTTTCATTTATGGTAGCCTGAGTAGTTGAATGTTATGGAAACCCTATTGCGACATAATCGGGTGTATGATTCTGAGAAATTTTGAATCATGGGATGTTTTGTAAGCGCTTTTGTGGTGTGTGTTGGTTTGATTCTTTAGACGGTAGAATGGCTGAATGTAGTAAGAATAATTTGAAGTTTCTGTATGATTTGGAGCGAAAGGGGAAAAAGAGCTTTAATTGACTGGTGTGTAAATGGAGGTTCACTTAGTAGCCATTATAAGTGTCCTGTATGTAGGAAAGATATGTGTTTAGTCGAATGTTAAAAACCATTACGATGGATTTGAATGGGTTTGTAGGAAGAAAGGTTCAGATGGTCACTATGCGAAGCGTTCGATCAAAAAGAGTACCTGGTTTGAAAAAAGTCATTTGAGTACGATTGATATTTTGATTTTTACGTGGCTCTGGGTGTACGAAGCGAACTCGAAAATCATGGTAAGTGAATATTTGCTTTTGGTAGTGCTTAAATGTATAACATGTTTTTGCTTTTTTATGTGATTTTATTGTTTGGTTTAAAATGTATTTTATTGAGATTATGCATTTTTTGTTTGCCTATATTGTAGAATTTTGTGCTCCTTTGACTTTTTAAGTGAAAATATATTGATGTGTACATGGACAAAGTAAAGGGAGTGCGCAATGCAAGTTTGTGCAATTCTGGGATTTTTTTTTTTTTTTTTAAGTGAAAATAGGTCGGCATGTACATGGATAAAGTTAAAAGAGTGCACATTGCCATTTTTGTGCAATTCTGGGATTTTTTTTTTAAGTGAAAATAGGTCGACGTGTACATGGATAAAGTCAAAGGAGTGCACAATGCCATTTTTGTGCAATTCTGGGATTTTTTTTTTAAGTGAAAATAAGTCGATGTGTACATGGATACCGAGTTTGTGCAATTGTTTGTCTTGTTATTTTGGTTTTGTGTAGCGGATTTTTGGGGCAAAAATCACCGCTTCACAAGCCAAAATATCGAGTCAAAGAATTTCACAAAATCGGTATCCATGTACCGCCAAAAAGTACCCTAAACTATACTTTTACCCTAATTCCTTACATTCTCAAAAATTTTAATTGATAATTACCAACAGATTATTTTTAAAAAGTACGTTTTTGGTATTGAAAAGAAAGGGTAAACTGTAATTCATAAAATGATTACCAATATAAAGGTTTAACAACTATTCGACTCAAAAAGAATTATTACTTTTATGATTAAAATTCTTTTTTAAATACATTTTACAATGCAGGCAACCTTTTAAATCATAACACGAAATAACTCACTTTTATAACAACCAATACATGCCATAAACAAGTTCAAAACTATAATAACCATTTCAAGGAATACCAAACTCTGATTTAAAAAATTAATCATTGTGTGTAACCTTCACATATACTATTCACAAGTTCAGCAACAAAACCTCATTGTCATTAAAAATCACAGCATATTACAAACAAAGGATGCACATACGCGTCCATTGCAAAACCAGTTTGATTTAGTATACACAACATCTATGACAATATCATGGGCGCCATGGCAACGGTGTAGTAGAAGTAACAGTACTTGAAAGCAAACAAACTCCGTACACTTGCGAAATAAATAAATAAAATTAATTAATTAAATAAAATATTCAATGAGGCATGCATAAACCAAACCTAAAATTTCATATTTTATGTATTATTTTCTTAAGCTATGTATTATTTCCTTAAGATGTTAAATTAATTTGAAATGCACTAATATGACAAGAAATCAGACTTTGTAGTTGAAAAAACATTAGTTGAACTGCGGTGCTTAACCACCAGGGTGCCTGGGCGCCATAGCCCTACCCCTCATCGAATAACATGATAAAAGTTTCGAATTATGAGAAATATAACTGAATGTGCTAAATAATTAAATGAGCAAGAGTTTAAACTCATAATTGCTAATAGTTAAATACAAATTTTTTTCCTTAAGTACCTAATTACTAATCCATACATAATTAACTATATTTTTAACAACTATTTCACAGAAGAATACATGTACACACAAGAGAAACAAAATACGAAGTGCGACGCCTTAGTGCCACTAGTAAAAACAAAAAGCAATCAGGAGGAAAAAAAGAACAATATACAATAAAGAATCTGAGCAACAATTTGCATAACACATATACAAAATTACACATTACTAACATTTAGGATCGCCCTTGGGCGTTTACTGAAATTGGGGTCCCTAGTATCATAACAATAGTTAACAACCACAGGATTGTCCAGAAGTTCCTGTTTATCATAAAATGCCCTAGATAGGCGGCAATAAAAATCACAAAGATCCTCTATTCTTAACTCTTTACGAATTTGGCTATTCCGAATGTACCAGGGGGCATTACATATCATACGCAATACCCCGTTTTGGGCAGCTTGTAACTGCCTTCTCAAACTTTTGCACGAGTATGCCCAGACGGGGCATGCATAACTAAGAATTGGACGCAACATGGTTTTGTAAATGAGCAACTTATTATCAATAGATAGAACACTGTTTCGAGCAATTAAGGGGAAGAGTGAAGCTTTACTAGCTCGAAACTTCCTGAGAATATGTGTAACGTGTGGGTTCCATGTAAGAGATTTACTGAGGATCACCCCAAGATAAGGGACCTGCTTGACCCAGGGAATGTCCACACCATACATTTGCAGGTGAGTCGGGAAATTCTTCTTAGTAGTAAACAGTATGGCATGTGTCTTGTCGACATTCACTTTGACTTTCCATTTGGTCAGCCAAGTCTCTAGCGAGTGGATGTGGTGTTGTAGCTGTTGTATTGCTGAACTAACAAATGCACTTTGCGTAAGGATCGCTGTGTCGTCTGCATACATGGCTAGTGTTGTGTTGTGTGTAGTGGGGATGTCGTTCACGTAAATATTGAATAGGGTAGGGCCCAGAAGGGATCCCTGTGGAACACCAGCCCGTATAGGCCGGTTTGTGGATAATGAACCAGAAACATGAACGACAAAGTGTCTACCGGTTAGGTAGGATTTAATTATGTTTGTGATGTAGCCTGGGAGTCCCAGGTTGTGTAATTTGTATATGAGGGCATCCAGCCATACTCTATCGAAGGCTTTGGCGACATCTAAGAAAAGTCCACCAGTGACACGATGTTGTTGCATCCCACTGCTTATTAACTCAACAACTCTGTAGAGTTGATGCGTTGTCGAGTGCTTACGCCTGAACCCAAACTGATAGGGTATGAGGATCTTCTGCTCATCCAGGAAGATGTTTAGTCTATGTAGAATAACTGCTTCCACGATTTTGCTAATTGAGCTTAGCAAACTGATTGGTCGGTAACTCTCAGGAGCAGTCGCAGGCTTGTTGGGCTTTAGCAGAGGGACAATCTTGGCAGTTTTCCAACAAGTTGGGAAGTATTGCCATCGTAGTATGATATTCACTAACTTGGTGAAGTAGAGTATTATCTTGACAGGGAAGTGCTTGATCATCTCATTTGTGACCCCGTCTACTCCAGGGCTCTTCCTTTTCGCAATTCGCATGATATAGAGACAGACCTCCGATGGCATGGCTGAGATAATGTTGTCTGTGCATGGCTGTGTTGTAAAATTGGAGTGGAAGTCAGCAATAAGCTGTTCAGTGTCTGAGTCTGAAATGTTGTTAATGCAGAACTGAGATTCCAGATGCTGAGCTAAAAGTTCTGCTTTCTCAGTTCCGGTGTAATGGATCCGTTGAGGGCCGTGAAGGGGCGGAATGGCGTTATAGCATTTTTTGTACCTCTTCACTGCTTTCCATAAGGAGTTATCCTCTGCAGAAAGAGATCTGAGGTAGTTAGTCCAGCGATCTTGTGAGAGTTTATTTGTAAGAAACTTGACCGCTTCGCACAGGCGATTGAAGTTCCTTTTATCATCACGGTGTCTGGTACGTTGATACGCTCGTCTTGCAGCATTTTCTCTCTTTAATCAATAATCTGAGCTCTTGAGGCTTGTGTTTCATACCAGGTTTAACTTCAACTTGTGCTTTCGCATAAGCATTTTGTATATTTTCAGTGAGGTCCTTGACCAAACTATCAATGTCACTCCCTTTGTGTATCGTGGGTAAAGTGTACTGGGTGTTGGAGAGGGCTTTGGCAAAGACCTGCCAGTCTGTACGAAAGGCCCTGGTGTCTGATGTAGTATATCTGCTGAGGTCCAGAATAATCCTAACAGGATTGTGATCACTTGAAAGTTCGTGCAGTACGGAAATATCCAGTGGAGAACTGGTGTTCCGCAACAGGAAAAAATCAATAATTGCGGTGGACCCAGCTGCATACCGTGTTGGGGGTACTTGGAACTGCCAATTTAAACCGTGCCGACACGGACAAGGAATAAATTCAGTTTGCCTGTTGCATTAGAAGTGTAGCAGTTCCATGCGCGGTGTCTTGCTTTCAAGTCTCCACCAATAATAACATGTGTACCAAGTGTGAGTAGAATTTCAAGGTCTGCCTGAACGACAGCCACAGGTCTCATGGGAGGAATGTAGGTGGAGACAAAAGTGTATGGAGTGTTAGTGTCTGTTGTGATGCAGATAGCTGTGGCCTCTACGGCTGAGAGCTGTGGAATGTTCACGTGATAATGGGGAATGCAGCGTTTGACAAGAAGTGCAGTGCCACCTCCACGTGGGCGAGGAGCGGTAGTACTTCTGTGCGACTTGTAGGTATAGTAATTTGCCACACACAATGGTATTTTAGGGTCAAGCTTGTGTTCTTGTAGGAAAAATAAGTCGGGACTGTGCTCACTTGCAAAATCCCGCAATTCATTAATCTTACGGAACAAACCATTTGCGTTCCAAGTAATAATACTTAAGTACCTATTGTTTACACTATACATAATTATTCAACATTGGAAAAAAAAACACTGTCAAAAACATTAAATAATATAAACAACTTATCGATTGAATGCTCCGCAGCCCGCAATTCAAGCATGGCTGCCGAGATTTTTTGAAAAACATTCATAACTGTGGTGCTTTTAAAAAGCATCACACACCTCTTTGATTATTTTGAGAAAGTCCATAAACATACCCGAACCAACAGTAGCACTAGCAGCACCACCACTGCTGACAGTCTGTTTATGCATATCAACATTAAAATTATTAACAGTATTTACAGATCTTTGAACGTCACCCTTGGCTACACTAGCATAACTGCGCCCGGAGGCAACAGCAGAATAACTCAAATTTGCATTAGAAGTACTAGGCATTTTAACACCATTATTTACATTTTCTGAGTTTGCACTCTTATTCACAGTTTTATTTCCGACTATGCGTCGGGGGAATTTCGGACATCCGCGATAATTGGCGGTGTGTCCTTCTTGCAGGCAATTACAACAAATAGGAGAGTCTAATTTTTTAACATTACATTTATCAGTACGATGTGCACCCGCACATTTCACACATCTTGGTTGTAGTTTGCAATTTTCACTACTGTGGTGGAAGTGTTGGCAGTTGTGACACTGCACAACATTTCCACGCACTTTATAAGGATGTATTTCAACAAAGAAACATAGCAGTTTTTTAACATCATAAATAGATTGCACCCCTGGTACATTCTCTAAATGAACCTGAAACAAAGGCATAGGAGCCTTAGATTTGGTTCTGTGCATTTGGGTAACTTTTCGAGGTTTATACTTTAAATTAACCAGCTCCTCAAAAATGTCATCTGAGGGGCAATCGATAGGTAAACCTCTTATAACTATTTTGATGGGCCTATCCATCTTTCTGGTAATTAAATAATGATCTACACTTTTTTCATCCAAATATTTTGTTATCTGACAGTGATCATTTTCCGTTTTCGGAAAAACTTTTAAAAACTCGCCAGTAACTTTAGCTGCAAAGTCTAAATTAGTTTCAGCCCTCAATTTTTTAGAGAAATCCGAAAATTTAATTGGAGGCTTCACCATTATCGGTTTCACCTTCGGTTGTTGCATTTCAATAACCTCATTCTCTTCACTAACTTCCATATCATTATTAAAATCTAAAGATGATCATTTTACTCAAGTGCTGTAATTTTAAGCAGTGGGTTTTAACCTTTGCCCTCACATATCTTCAAGATCGACGCTGATGTCATGTTCCGATTTCTCCTTCTAGCATATGCGCCTCTAAAAATCTCAACTATGTGGAACTAAAAAAGAACTTCTGTTTTACAAGTTCGTGTGCATACTCTGTTCGTTGAATTAAGTACTGATCAAAGGCCAGCAACAAATCATTTTATTGAGGAATTTAAAGCTGTTTTTCTCAACTTCATCTAGTGATGTTGATCGCACGATTATGATGCACCATGGGATCGAAACAGGAAGCTGTCGTTCAAGTAAGCAACATTCTGGAGGACTTATTTTCTCAACACAAGATGAAACGTTTTGTCAGAAATAGTAAAAATAATGGCATCGTCAGGGGCGTAGCTAGAGGAGGGCAAGGGAGGGCATCTGTCCCCGGGCGCAGAATCCAAGGGCCGCCAAACTGATGTTACGACATTTTAGAATTAAATGTTTTCCAGCCTTGACAAGC